GGGGGGGGGGGGGGGGGGGTTGTTGTGCAAAATCTTAATCAAGGTTGACCCTGCAATCAGTCACGCACACATGCGCACACAGGCGTCTCCAGGCACGTCAAATCGACTAACGAAGCTCTACCCATGGCACTGCCGGCTTGTTCGCCAAAACAGCCCGTAACGTGTTGGTACACACCGGCTTCTCGGGCGAGTCCTCCGAGCGGGCAGCGATGATCGCCGCAAGGCCTGACAGCCGCCTCGGCACTGGCCTCGACTGCCCCCCCGCCGCAACCGCTGGCTGTCCGGGCTCATTCACCGCAGCGTCCGTCGCCGCCGTGGAATGGTGACTGCCGTCCTCTCCCCACCCCGCTCCGGCGTCATCCCCGCCCCCCCCCTTAAACGCCTCCGGGTTCGTAAGGCGGAGCGGCGGCGGCGGAGGCGTCGAAGACTCCGCGACGCGCCACGAGCGGCCGCCTGCTCCCTCCCCCGCTTCAAGCTCGTCCGTTGGTCTTGCTGCTCCGCTGTCGGGACTACCTCTTCCGAAGCCGCTGCTGCCGTGCCTTTGATACGTGCTTCCGCCGCCAAAATCGCCGCTTGCTGCCGTCGCACCCCGGGGCTGCTGCTGCTGGTGTTGGTGAGGGAACGTCGAGCCCGAAGATGACGGGACAGCGGGAGAGGACCTCCCGGTGTTGCGTGCCCCCGCCGTCCCCGGCGGAGGGGACTTGCTGTCTTGAGAAGGGCCACCACTGTCCGGGAACCGAGCCGAGGCAGCAGCCGACGACGACGCCGGGTTCCCAGCCCCGTCCCGGTAGTCAGCGCCTCTTCTGTGATGGTGGAACGGCGACGCGCCCGTCGGGTCGGCACCACCGCCGCTGCCGGCAGCAAACATCCCATTCCTGCTCCCGAGAGACGGAGGAGCCTCGCCCCCGGCGCCGCCGCGGGAGAACGGGGACGCTGAGCCGCGCCCGCGATCGCGGTCACGCTCTTCGCCCCAAAGCAGTCCTCCGCCGCCCCTGCTACCGCTGCTGCCGCCGTTGGTGCTTCCTCGGCCGCTGTCCCAGGCCTCGCGGCCGTAGTCTTTCCCCCCCCCCCCCCCCCCCCCCCCCC